AGTCATTCTATGTGTTGAAAAAATATTGCATCAGTGAAGTAAATATAGAGAAGTGGAGACACCATGCCTAACATTATGAAAAACTGCTTTCTTTCCCAGAAAGGAACACAGAAACAAATAAATAGAGTAAAAGAATAAAGGTACCAAATCAGAAGCAATATAGTATACTTTAACAATTTTTTTTCCAAATGCATTGTAAAGAAGGAAGCCAGGAGGTTGGTGGGTAAAAATCCTGAACAGCGGTTTAAGCAGGCTCTTTACCTCCTAAGAAACAAGCTTGTGGAAAGAAGTGCTTTTCTTTTCTTTTTTTTTTTTTTCTTTTTCTTTTTTTCTTTTTCAAGTGAGCTGTCTCAGCATTGCAGATTTTCCCAAGTCCTTACAACTCTAATTAAAATGTGGTAATTGGTTATGTTACCTCAATTACCATGATGCATGGACATTGATACAAAGCGACACCAATTGAATCCCTTGGGTGTTATACCCCAAGGCCATCCCATTTATTGTGGCCTTATTATTTTCAATTATGTGTCTGGATGTACAGCATGCTTGCAAGCCAATACAGATGAGGGTTCTGCTGGACTTTCAGTGTAATGTACACATGAGATGACTCAGAAGAAGAAGAGAAATAATTTTTTTTTCATGAGGTATAGTAGTGAACTTGGCGATCAGACAAATGAATATTTCAGACATGTTCCGGACAATGTGAGAATTAGGGCACCTTAACCCAAATTGCCTTAGCTCAAAATCTCCATTTTAAATGCATGAGTAATACTGTCCCTTCAATAATTAGCCCTCTCTGTTGAATAAGAAAAGAAATTGTCTGCTCCATAAAACAGGTATGTTTCTCATTCAATGAATGAGCATTCTGGTGAAAAAGCAGCTTCTCCACTCACCAAAAAGGCAGGAATATTGAATTGCAGCTAAAGTAAAATACCTTAGAAATCACAGTTTTTTCTCTCTCCCTGTCCCAAAAAAAGTGAATTTCCATGGTCATCTTGTTGTAGGTTTGTATACAGAGAGATAACTGATCTGGGCAAGACATACACAAATTGGAATCCTCTGTAGCAGCTGGAATAATCAGTTGAGGTTAAGCACATAATTTGCACTGGGCATACCACTGGCTGAACAAAAAATTAAAAAAAAAAATTGCAGAAAATAACTTACATATTCGCACTTTGACTTAATTTATGGGCACAACTATGACTGAGTCTGTCCCAAAACCATTTTTTAACTTTTCAGTCTTTCAAGTAGACTGTACCTTCTAAAGGAAAGTGCATAGTGACTTAAAACTTCTCCAGCTGTTAAGCAGGAATTTTAGGTGGAAATTTTGAGTTTAGTTAAATGAAGATTGTTGCTATTGCTATTGTAATTTCCAGGCAGTCTCTTTTTCCTTGAAGATGATTGATAGCAGGGTCTTGTTAGACAAGCTATAAGGCATCTGTGTAATCCTGAAGTTAAAATTAGGGTGATATATAACATTATATCATATATATACAATATATAATATTATAATATTATATCAAAACAAACAGATGGGGGAGATAAAAACCTTTTTTGCTAAAACAGACTAGGACTGCTTCCAGTTTTCTGAGATTTTTTCATTTTATGAATATCTCATTCTATATAGCTAGATTAACCTACTGGATCTAATCATATTTCATCTTTCTGGAGTGATTCTTATTGATAATTTTACATTCTAGATAGAACTTTCTGTATATGAGAAGGACAGCTTTTACAGGACTGTAGATGCATGAAGTCCGTGTTAATAACTTGCAATTTGTAAACTTACAGTGCCCACGGTTGCAAAAGGTGAGCAAAATTCAGCAAACTGCTGAAGACCATAAATGGAGACAATTCAAAAGAAACATAAAAGTTTTCTGTGGTTAATTCCAGCATACCTTTGCAATGTTTTAAGTGGCCCAGATAAGTGACTGAATGTAAAAAGGGGCAGAAAGAAGACAAAGGAACATCCCAGTACACAATTAGAAAGTAGAAGATGAAAGTGACTCCTGAGCTGAGACTGTACAATCATCTGGGGTATCTTATTTACTGTCAGCAAGTCAGATGCCATGAATGAGTCAGATGCCATCAGGCTATAAAAACATCTCATTTGTTTTCATAAATTACAGTATTTTGTGGGCAACCACAAAGACAGACTTGTTACCAAGGGATACAGTTTGTGTGCCAAGACTGGCACACCATCAAATACAGAGAGATACGGTAGCAGGAGAAATGGTTCTGGTACCTACCCAAGAAATGACTGCACAGGAACTGAGTGAAAAAGAAGGTTAGAACGTGCCAGCTCAGGCAAGGAAAGTCAAAGAAACAGGCATCCTGCAGTGGCTGGAGCATATTTAAATGCTGAGAATACGGATAGTTTTATCAACAAGAGAAACTTGTACATACTGACACACTTAAAAGAAGCATTATTATAAAGCAGCCTAAGATGAGAGGTTCCAAAACAAAACAGCCCACAGTGAAAATTAGATGATCATCATGATATCTCTAAATGGCTGCTATTTCTCAGCAGAAAGAATGATACAGCCCTCAGCCAGTCAAAGTCAGCTCAGCCCAGCAAATAACTCCAGACTACCTCAGGCAAAGAGGGAACAAAGCAGCGGGTACCTTGTGAAGTTCCAAGCCTCCAGATATCAAGCGAGGTTCTCTACTCATATCCTCACCATGCCTCAACTCCTGATCGATTGCAATCCCAAACAGAAACACAAGACTTCACTCCTGCTGCAAGAGCAGCACCAAGCTCTAATTAGCTGGTAACAGTTTATTTACAGCCACTGCTTTCATACAGCAATTGCCCACAAGCAAAAGAGGATAATATGTGTTCATTACAGTAACTTGGACCTCTAACATATCTAACATATCTCACAAATGCAACTTCTTTCTCTTCTAAGTCAAATAGGAGATATAAATTTACTTAAAAAAAACAAAACAAAACAAAAAAAAACCCCTGCTGATTTGTGGTACTTTACCTTTAAGATAACACAGTCGGAATGCAATTCACTCCCTCTTGGGCTTTTACAATACTCAGCCTCTAACAAAAAAAAATCAGGATTCTAAGAGCTGCTTTTTGGTTTGGTGGTTGTCTAAATACTGCACATATTTATTTTGGAAGCTCTGAAGTTCAACTGTTCTTTCTACTGCTGGTCAGATCATTAAACATTTTGTGTAGCACTAGCCAAATTTACTAGTTATTGTTGCAACACATTACTAACATGACTAAAACTATTCCTAAAATGGAATTACCACAAAAACATAACCAGCATTTCTCAAGAGAATTAAAAATCTCTGCTACTGTATTTTCTTTCCTTATCAGTCTTTTCTATTCCTCAGTCTCATATTTATCTTCTAACCCATTCACTTGCCCAGCCTATTTCACTGATGAATTCTTTTACTTCTGTTCTCATTTCTTTTTCTCCCAGACCCATTACTATCAAAACCCTCTGCAACTGTTGAAATGGCATTTGTTTTCTTTTATTTCTTTATTTTTCTCTCAATTAAATGTAATATATTATTTAAAATTCCTACCTACAATTTCCATAAAGCTTCTTTCTGGATCCTCAGTAATTCTGCTTTTGCCTTCAATTCCACTGAAATTTCAGTAGCATTTTCTCAAAATCTCAATTGTCTTCACATTTTACATTGCCAGTTGACTAATCCCATGCTTACAAAACCAATGCTGACAGTACATCAGCATTTCTGCAGCTTTTGAGGGATGAGGTCTTTCCATGCTGCCTCACACAGAGCCTCTTTTGACTGGTCCTAACACTCTGTTCAAACCTCTCCCTTCATTGAGTCCCATTTCTATGTCAATACCTAAAGCAAAAGAGCCAATAAACCAAACTAGCAGAGAAGTCCTCCTATGTTACAAATTTTGAAAAAGACAGGAAAACAACATTATTATTACTTTCACCAGTTCACTCGTCCATGGCATCCTTCTCATTAATTCACCATCTCTTGGGCTTATTAGACTAATAGCACTTCCATTCAGGAACTGCTAGTAATTCTAAACAATGCCTTATGTATCTTCCTACTGTAGGACCCTAAATGAACCAGAGAATTATAGATTCTGTTATTTATGTAAAGGAACTTTAAAAAAAAGAAGTCAAAAGTAGTATTTCACTGTTAGTCAGATAATTGCCAAGGCAGATGAGTCAAGATTTTTTTCCTTTCCTTTTTGCTTGATATAAACCTAAAAAATTATATCACTTGTTCCCAAATCTCATCAAGACTCTTCAGCATATGAACTACATAGGATTATCATTGCTGTCAATGTAGCTGCAGTATAGACTTCAGAAGTGGGATAGTTGCACAAAGCATGCTGAGCCAATTCATCCGTTACAGTCAATGGTGTTACAGTAGGGATTATTTTATTCCCCCTGCTTTGTAATATAGTTTTATGCTGTACAAAACCAATCTAATTCATGCCACTTAATGGATGGTTTAAGCAGAGTGCTATTTTGCCTCTTAGGAATCATTTCCCTGAGATAAAAGCAAATTACTACATTTTACTTATATTCAAATAACAGAGGATTGTATATTAATCACATACCCATGGCATTCTATGTGAAATACACATCTACTGCTGGGATGCTAATTAAAACCAATCTTAGTTACACAGGAAATTCTTTTTCTAAAATATATTTACAATCAGTGAAATACGTCTCTGGGCCCAGTTCTGTTAGGTATTGAGCAATTTAGCACCAGGAGAAGATTTTTTTTTTTCTACTGGGTAGGATCAGATACGATGAGATTAAAAATCCAGCAAATACAATACGTATAGGTGAGTTTATATTAGTAAACAATACTGTCCATACAATTCTGCGTGAAAAACTGAAGATCCACTTGTAGACAGTAAAGACTAGGAATGGCATCTCAGCCAGAAGAGAGCACTCAGAGATGGATACATTTTTTCTTGTGCTTAAAAACAGTTTCTTGCAAGGAATGAAATCCCACCAGACCATTTTTAAAGTAGCATCACTCACCGAGTCTTTTTCTGATCGCTTCTGTAGCCTGGTTTGCCAGTGGACAGCTTGCATGACAATGGCTTCCCACCTTCTCTCAAGGTTCACGATTATCAGCTGCATGGACTGGTGATCTGCATTTAGGTTGCAGGTCTCCTGATCATCCAGGAGGTGCTGGCATAACCGCAGCACAGAGGCCACCCCACGGCGCCTCTGCTTGATCTCAGAGCATAGGGACTGAAGGACAGACAAACAGCAGATGTCAGCATGGAATATTTTGCAAATTGAAACATTAATTATTATCTGACAATTTAGTGGTGCCCAATCTCTGTCTAGCAATATTTTTTTTCAGGTCTTCCATAAATTCTCGTACTTGTGTCGAAGCTGAATGTTTTATTTTCAGATAAATACTGTCTTAATAGCACAGACAGACTAACACTACGTTCAGTCTTCTTCAAACAAATGCCATACATAGCTAACTGTCTCAATAATGCTGAAAGTTTTATGGTGTAGACCCGTTTATTCTTCCTTTCTTTTTCATTCAACTAGGACACATCTGAAATTAGTTACCCTGACAGTAATCAGCTTCAGAAATCCTACAGAAAAATAAGTGGGAAAAATTGTAGGCATGCAATGAGAATATGTATATTTTTAGAAAAAACAATAGAAATTATGGATCATATGTGCCCTGTCACAGGAGAAACATTACAGAAGCAGAAAATTCAGTATAAAATAGTTTACAGATGTTTTTTGTTATCATAAAATATTTTCAGAGTAGTTCCATATTCAAGTAAATGTAGGAAAATGGTGAGAATTCTATCATCCCTGAATGGGAGTAATTCACTGTATTTATTTCATATACTGATTCCAGTGCTCCTGAGAATGCAGCCTGACGTAAACTGGACGAAGGCAGATGATTGCTAAACCCTAATATTGAAACTTGATGGGGGCCAGGATGTGTTGGTTCTCTACCAAAACCCTAAGAAACTGTACTGAGAATCTTGTTGAGCAACAGAATAAATAATGCATCCTGCATGCCAGAACTCGAGTGAGGTCTACCACGAGGAAACAGTTAATGACCTGGGGTGCTTCCAAGCATGGTTTTATCCATGGTTATACTCTACTGTCACTGAACATCAAACCAGGATTTTTTAAACTCATAACAAATTTTAATAATAATTAATCTATGAAGCTGGGGTGCAGAAGGCAGAAATGCATGTGAGGATGGCTGCTTCAGCCCAGGTTCTGAGATCCTTTACTTTTATAACATTGCAAGGCTCAGGTATCCAATAATTATCATAGGGCTGTGCTACTCCTGAATTTAACAGGACTGTGCTCTACAAATGAGAGCTTTCCAGATAATTTAAATTGTAACTTGCCAACATCTGTTTCCCTCTGTGGGACACCACAGATGAAAGGGCATGACCCCATGAGAAAATTTGAACCATCATCTTTTTTTGAAGACAGGGTGTTTGCCTCTAAGCTTCCAGTTAATGATAGGAAGCAAATAAAAAAAGCCGCTACATCTCTCAAAGCTGTACAGAAGCGCTAACTGATAAAAAAACAGGATCACATTTCTTAATTTTATTAGCAAAACAAAAACATTCTATAGAAAGTGAATTCCAGCTCCACAGTAATGTGTCACTGCTTCTTTAAAAATTGAAATTTATAATTAGAAATTTCATAACTCAAAGGAGTATTTTGCTGCTGTTCTTGATCAATAATTTTAATAATATCAATATTATTAAGATCAATATAAGATAAATAATATTAAGCTGCAGAATGAACCAAAAGGTTGGTACAGACATCTAAAAACATGTATCTTTTCTTTGCATAGGGATAGCTTGCAAAAATCAGGGATTTCTTTTAAAGCCTTCAAGAGAAATGATGATTAAACTCACAAACATAGCTGAATTACTAATCTACTTTCACTAGCACAATTGGGCCATCCTAACAGATTGCTTATTAATCAACAAGGGTAAACAAGGCAATGCAATCTCATTTAAAGCAGAAGTTTTAATGCCTAAAAGTATTTGTGTTCAAAATGTTATTCCCGATAAACCTTCATTAGAAGACATCTTAAAATGATTAAGTACATTTGATTGTAAAGTACACTGAGTAGTATAGTAGCAGGTGGACATTTCATACAGATGTTCCACTTATTGATATAATGCATTCTATAGCTATTTAAATTACCCTAACTCCATAATAGCTAGAATTCTATTACTTCTGTAATGAGAGAACCCTGTACCTTTAATATTTCTGAATTTTAAATAAGGTGAATGACAAATTCCCAAACCACTATTTATGGCAAAATATGACCAGGAATTTTATTATTCAATTTATACCAGAGCTGCATTTTCACTTGCGTTTCCTGAACTTGCCCTTATTTATTTTCCCAGAGTTCATTACTAGTTTCCTTCGTAGTTCTTGATGTAACCACCACGTCTGGCACATTTCCTTTCTGATGCTGTTCATTAGCTTAATGTCAGATCAGGAAAAATACCAGCCAACCAAACCAGACCAAAAAGTCTATCTAAAGTCAGGGTTCTTATTTTATATTTTATAACAGCTAGGCAATCCAGGTTTTTTTGGAAATGATGGTGAGTTATATACCGATCACAGCCAAATTTATGTAGGTCTGCATTAACTTCATAGAAGTCAATATAGCTCAGAATCTGGCCCCATACCATTAATTTACCTTGATCTAGCCGATTAAGTCATCCCTTATAAATATTGGTCTTTTCTGATACAATGCCTTTTAATATGATGAGGTAAGGAGAATTGCATTCATAAGCCATTATAGGGGACTTCAAGTGAGGCCTTTACATTGTGTTATCTGGAAGCAGAGCTACAGCATCCAAGTCATTTCTAATTTATATCAATTTTACACCAGCATAATAACAGTAGCTTTACTGAAGCTATTTCTGATTTACATGTCTGTGACAGTACAATTAGGCCTATGGCACTTTTGTTTCAATTTTATTACATGATATTATGGTTAATATTAAACAGGAGAAGAATGAAGTGCTTGTATCTAACAGTGTATTGAAATAGTTGGCTATAGAAACAATACTTTAAAACCCAGAGAACTTAATCATGTAAAGACATCTTTAAACCCTATATAATAGCACTATCAATAATGAATTTAAGCAGTATTAGGGTCTTGTATTCAGTGACCTAAAGGGACACATTAATTGCCTATATCCCATGACATGATATATACACTGTGGTGGTGTATATCCATCCAGGTCTTCCTATTGTTAAAATGGCATTCTTGTATAAAAACCTGTCAATACAGTAATTGCACAAGGAAAGTATGCTTCCAGGATGACAGTCACTTAAATTATTTGCAAGGTACATTCTACACTGTGAATGTAGAAGCTATAATTCATGTTTGATAAAAGTCAATTAATTTAAGAAAGGTAATATGATGAGTATCTCTATTGAGCCTTGGGCCTTATGGTTTACAGCCGCTGTAGTGAGCTACCGGGCACTTGAAGGTTCAGAAAATTAAGATGTTATCTAACTGTACACTGAGGTGCATCACTTAGGCTCATGTAGTCTTCTGTGTGTGCAGAAGACTTACTGAAGTGTAGATTCAGAGATCAGAAACTTTCAATTTTGTCCCCTCATACTATAATGTGTCCATTGAGCTGTGGTAAATGTAAACACAATCCAAATCTCCGTAAATGTGCGAGAAATGTATTCACTTAAGCCATTTGCAGTGAGACTTAAACAAGTATTTGACTTTTTTGCTGCAGGCTAAGAGTATACACGGTAACTGCAGATGCTGTGTATGAACTTGGCTTTGTGTCTGAGTCATTTGCCTCACAACAGATAGGCTGATAACATTGAGGGGCTAGTCATTAGAATGTTTTTATGGTCATGGCTCCCCATACTGAGGATTCCTGTCCATGCTGCTAGAATCTTGGAAGGTTTTACTTCCCCCTGCCTACTCCTATTTCCAGTGCTTTGAAGTTATCACACGCATAGCTAAAAAGGGCTAGCTGAAACTACTTTCACAGCTTGTTAATACCATGACTTAAATCATCTGGAAAAGCCCCTGCTGAGGCAAATGACATCAAACACTCCTTCCAAGCCAAGGGCTAATGGCACTATCTATGGGGATGGAAGTGGCCACGATCTGAACAGAGGGTGCTTGGCTTAGCTGCGTGACTCCTAAATGAATGGCATATGACCAGAAACATGTATGCAGCTTTAGGCAGTGCCAGACCATATGTGAGGCATAGAAAGGTAGGAGGTTGAGGAATGTTATAACGTCTCAAGCCCCAGTCAGTCTCCATCCTTCAGCCTTCCTGCAGCACATCAGCACCTGAGCTGTGCTGCACCACTTGCTCCCCATGACTGAAAGGCCTGTAGTCTTGGAAGTCAGTATTCTCACATAACATGTAAGATGAGTTGGCCACTGAAACATGTTACATCAATAATCTTGACCTGGTGTTTAATATTAACTATTTGAGATTTTTGATTAATTCAGTGGGACTAATTGTTCTTAAAAGTAGCTTTGAAGTCTTTGTAAAATTAGTTGAATTGCCTTAAATCCACAAAATCTACACATTCACCACATAGATTATTGAGATGTTTTCATAGTTTCACTTATTACATACTGTTTGGAGAATCCATTTTTATGGGATCTGAAGTTTCTTGTTTTCACTCTACAACTGGACTAAATGTTCATGTAGAGATGGCCAGAGTTTTGAAAAGGGTCGGACAATGACAAACAGTAACTTAAACAGATGGATTTTCTTTGTGCTTTCAGAAGAAATACCAAGGTATACTGAGATATGTGCTATTTCTGGACTTCTGTGTATGCATGGGCAATACAGGCTGTTTTCAGGAACACAAAAGAAGCTGCAGATAAATACCAGATCTAAGAGGAAGTGTCTGTCTAACCTTGGCCTGTTAAAGGCTTACTCTTCCTCCTTGTTGCAAGATGTGGGCATGTGAGGGAATGATACAATTCTGATGGTACCAGTTCTTTGATGGAAGATGGATCTGCTGCTCTTCAGTGCAACAGTCACATGCAGAAATTAAGGCAGGATCTGAGAATGGAAGTCACTTTTCTGTGTACGTCAATCAAACCTCTTAGAATTTTTTTGCTTTTTACGCCTGATTTTTGGCTACAGCAGCATTTCAGTTTTTAAAAATGATAATGTAAAACTCTTAAGTATCACAACTTACAGAAATAATACATTGATAAAAAGAAACAGGAA